GGCAAAGCTAAGCTGAGCCACGCTAAGCTAACATGATATAAGCTAAGCTAAGCTAAGCTAAGTTAAGCTAAGCTAAGCTAAGCTAAGCTAAGCTTAATTAGGATAAGCTGGGTGAACCCAGGGGGCGCAACTGGGGGAACCGCGGGGCGGATCCTTGGGGAACCGCCCGGGGCGTTTAGCACTGCCCGGCCCTTTAAGCCAACAGGGTAAGAACCCTTCTAGGCAGAGTCTAGGTAAGGAACAAAACCAGAACAACGGGGCGCAGCTCGTGAGTTAACCACGGGTCACTGTGACTAAACCAGGAGGAGGAGGAGGAGGAGGAGGAAGAGGAGCAGCAGGAGAAAGGGGGCGAAGGGAGGAGGAGGATGAGGAGGAAGAAGAAGCTGAGTATGAGGGCGAGGCGGGGGACGAAGATGGGGAGTCGGAGGAGGAGGAGGAGGAAGATGCTGAGTATGAGGGCGAAGCGAGGATGGGGCTATCTTCGCCGTCAGGGTCGCAACGCCGAGTTGCCAGCTGATCCGTCCCCACAAGTGTTCCTGCCTCTCTTCCTCGTCCTCCTCCAGCTCCTCCTCCTCCTCCTCCGACTCCTCCTCCTGCACCTCCTCCTCCTCCTCCTCCTCCTCCTCCGCCTCCTCCTCCCCCCCATCCTCTTCCGCATCCTTATCCCCTCTCCCCTGGTTTGATCGCTTGCCCCCTCAGGATCCTGAGCAAGCCGCAGCGCGCAGAGCCCTACCTCGAGGCGACCATGAAAGTATTGCTCACGGATAACCATTCCATGATAAATTGCATTCAATGGAGCCACAAGCTTCAAGACATGTTCAACAAGTTTTGCCGTGAGATTGAAGGGGACCGAGTGAGTGGCGATCGTATTCGGAACATGCGCCACAGGAAGCACCGCTACGAGAGTATGCAAAAGCCGCTGGGCAGGCTGATCCTCTTCCTTGACGCCGTCATTATGGTGGCGCAGTGGGTTGCAGTGAATCGGGCGGGCAGTGCTGAGGAGCTCTACGCTCTCGATTTCTTGCTCGCCATAGACGAAGAGGCTCTCATTTGCGTTGCCCTTTGTGCTGATGCCGGCGACGAAGGAATACAAATGGTCAGAGATGTGGATACTGAGAAGCACGATACTTCCCGGGTGGCGACGCTCCTGGCAACGTTCGTCGCCCACCTCGACTACCTGTTCGTCCAGGCGCACGCCCCTGAGTACGGCTACTGCGCTTACGTCCTCAAGCTCTTGGAACGCCCGAGAACAGTCTGGCTGCGCGGCGTGCCGAAGACGATCGGCGGGACGGGCAAGGTCGGGCAGGAGCTGATCACTAAGTGCTTGGCCCGCATGAACAACTACGTGCGCGTGGCCATCGACACTTTGCGAGCGGAGTTCCCTTCTTTCCAAATGCTCAACGCCTTTCACATCTTCGACGTCAGCAAGAGCAGCAAAGCACTTTATGGTGACAAACAGGATGTGCGAGCCGAAGCTATGCACCGCCTCGCATCCATCTTCCGCGTGGACGTCGGACGGCTCGAATCGGAGTTTCTCGACCACGAGGCGATCGCACGGCACCTACTTTTCCGGGAGGCGGACACCAACATGGGCGCATGGCAACTGGCCCTCCTGCGGACGCAGGGGCGGGCTGATACAAGGCGACAGCACCCGGCGTCAGCATTGGCCCCAGTCGTGCAGCGATACCTGTGCTTCAGCGGTACAACAACGTCTGGCATTGAGCAAACGTTCACACAGCAATGCCAGAACTTCTACTCCCAGCGCGACCACTGCAGCGTCGAGCTCGAGGTCGACGAAACGTTCATCCTTGACTTCAACAACGGCACCAAGGAGAACATTGACGAGATCATCGCTAGTGCGCAGAAGATCTGGGCTCAGACATACGGCATTCCTCGTACGACGCCTGACAGGCTCCAACGTTTGGATACACACGGCAAGCACTCTTCCGCCTCGGCTTCAGCCAATATGACTGAAACCACTTTCATCACTGAGCGTCGTGCTGCCGTGGACGCGGACGTTACTACCTTCAGGTCCTTAGACGCGGTCATGGGCGACGCGTCCGTGCACGGCCAGGGCACGTGGTGCGAGACTCTGGCCGTCGAGGAGGCGAAACAACACAAAAAGAACCGTGCCGCTGCAGCCGACGCCTTGCTCGACGGTGTTCTCCTTCCCAGCGAGATCACATTTGATCTCATGGACGAGGCAGCTGGGCGTCAATCCACAAAGCAGGCAAACGACAGGAAGCGGGCGCGGACCAAAGCCACGCTCGCAGAGACTCTTGCTAAGCCTGGCGTGGGTCTTGCGCTGGCCGGAGCGCGGGTCTGCAACAGAGCGGGTGCGCTGTCGGCGGGCATTCCGAACACCATAGCTTTCGTGAATGATCCCTTGCAGTGCGAGATCCTGGTCGTGCGCGACCCGAGCGCACTGGCGGAGATGGACGCATTCGCTCTGGCGCTCAACGGAGGTTTGGCTGTGAGTCGTGAGTACCTGGCTAGCGGTGGGCAACGTGGGCCCAGTATCTTCTACAATGCTGCGACGGCCACGCCGCGGCGGATCTGGCTGTCCGCTGCTTTCTGCGCTGCTGAGGCGCGACTGGCCGACATCGTGCGCAGAGCAGCCAACATGGGAAAGTGGAAGCTATTGATGACCGAACTTGAGTTTCTGACGTTGTTCGAGAGACTCGAGAAACAAAAAAGGGTGATGGAGGTGCTCGCAGTCGTCACTGCACCGGAGAAGGCCGTCCTGGGCGGCAATGAGTTTCGAAACGTGTTTGTCAAAAGTGAGTTCCTCGCTTTCTGCCGGCGGCCCGTGCTAAGCAAGAGCACGATTGGTGCATGTGGAGTCTAGGTGCATCTTCGTCGGTGATAGCGAGGGCGAACGAGTATTGATGTATCAGCAGTGCGAGTTTCACTGCATACTGGCGCGCTTTTGCGCGCGATGTGGGGAAGCATCAGCCGCGCATGATATACCGCCGTGGCCCTCCTCCTCCTCCCCTCCTCCTCCCTCCTCCTCCTCCTCCTCCTCCTCCCCCTCCTCTTCCACTCCTCCATTCCCCATCCCTCATCCTCCTCATCCTCGTCCAACGCCGACTCCTCCTTCTCATGCTTTTACCGCTCCTCCTCCTCCTCTACCTCTACGGGCTGATACGGCTTATATAGCTCATAATGATGTAAGGGCTTACAAGGGTTACAGGGCTTAAAAGGCTTATCGGGCGTGCATGGCTTGTGGGACTCATGAGGTTCCTGCGGCTGTTAGGGCTCACAAGGATCATAGGGCTCATCGGTCTGGTAGGCCTCATACGGCTTATAGGGCTCATAGGGCCCAAAGGGTTCATAGGGCCTATAGGGCCTATAGGGCTTATAGGGTTTGTCGGGCTTACAGGTCTTATAGGGCTTATACAGCTCATTTGGCTTATAAGGCGTTCAAGGCTCATATGGCTTATAGGGCTTATCTGGCTCTTACGGCTCGTATGTCTTGTAGGCCGTATCAGGCTTTTAGGGCTTATTGGGCTTGCAGGGCGCCTGGGGCTTGTATGGCATTTATGGCTTACATGACTTAGAGTGTTTATATGGCGTATGTGGCTTACAAGGCGTCTACTGCTTACGGGGCGTATCACACAAAACCTTTGGTAGGGATCACCACTTGCCCGAGTGCTGATCCCTGCCAAACCGTGGTTCCCACCGACGATAGGTCTTATATGGCTTATGCGGCTTATAGGGCGCATGGGGCTTATGTGGCCTATGGGGCTTATAAGGCTTATAGGGCCTACAGGGCTCACAGGGGTTATAGGGCTCGTAGGGTTTATATGGTAGCTACTACTCCTCCACCTCCTACTCAATAGCTCCTCCTCCTCCTCCTCCTCATCCTCCTCCTCCTCCTCCTCCTGCTCCTTCTCCTGCTCCTCCTCCTGCTCCTCCGCCTCCTCCCAACCCCCTCCGTCTCCCTCCCTCCACCCTCCATCCCCATCCCTCCCTCCCTCCCTGCTCACTCCCTCCCCCCCTCCCTCCGCCGTTCCCCCTTCGACGACGCTGGATGGTCGGACACCGTCGAGACTGTGGAGCGGGGGGGGGATATTATCCCCCCCCCGCTCCGGCCTCTTGGACGTCCGAGGCTGTGGAAACGGGTGTTAAAATCAAGCAAGCGTTTCCACACAGCTCGCACACTGAATCAATCATTACACAATTTCTCCGCAGTCTCGGACGTCCTTCCTGGGGGGGCGTTTTCCGCAGCCTCGGACGTCCATGACAGTGGAGCGGGGGGGGGATAATACCCCCCCCCTTCTCCACAGAGCTCCAGTGGCTTTCAGTCGGGGTTACAGGGGTTACCAATGATGAGGGCGATGATGCAGTGGTGGACGTATGCTGATGATAAGGAGGGAGGAGGAGGAGGAGGAGGATGATGAGGAGGAGGATGATACGGAGGGAGGAGGGATGAGGATGAGAAGGACGACGACGGAGAAGGAAGAGACGGATGATGAGGATGAGGAGACGGGGGAGGAGGAGGAGGAGGAGGAGGAGGAGGAGGAGGAGGAGGAAGAGGAGGACGGAGGATGATGAGACACTTGCTCCGCGAATTACGCCTTCAATACGTTGCTAGTTCAAGTTCTCCCTTAGGGATATCAATGGGTTAATCCTCCCCTATGTTTTTCAACGGGTTCTTAGATTGTTCACTGGATTCCTCGTGGGCCTCTCTTGGAACCTCTTGGGGACCTCTTCGATAGGGCCTTGTCGGGGCCCTCAATCTCATACGCCTTGGGAACCTTGGGTCCTCTTGGGTCTGCTCTTTTTTTGGCCTTTAGGAGTGGCGCCCCTGGGGGTCCTCTTGGGGCCTCATGCTGTCCCATGCCGCGCCTCGCCTGAGTGAGCGGATGCATCCGACAGCAAGTGCGAGCTCCAAGGCTCGCCTTCGGTCGCCTACTTGGGCAATGTCCGTAACACGTTCTAAAGCTGTTTCGGTTTCCGTGTCAAAGCGCCATTGCTGCAGCGACCTGCCCACACAGGCTTCCATGGACCACGAGTGCTCGTCGGGTGGGGCGCCGGCGGGCCCGCCGCGGCCACCTGCGAACGCCTCATCCAGGAAGCGCCCAGCAGCACCGACCACCAAGGTCAAGCAGGTGAAGAAGAAACCAGCCAGGACGTGCCGACCAACCATCGACATGCTGATGACCACCATCCTTGCATCCATCACAACTATCGTTACCGAGACCATGTCAATCTACGATAAGGGCTTTGCTGAGCCCTGGGATGGGACAACTCCCATAACAGTGGGCTCAGCGTGCTCTGGCTGGAACTCAGAGATCCTAGCCCTCGAAGCCATGAAGATCCCTTTCCACCACGCCTTCTCGTGCGACAACAGCAAGCACGTGAAGAAGATCGCCGAGTTCCTCCACGGCTACCACGAATACTTCGACGACGTGATGGGCACCAACTTCCTTGGCTCCGCCGCTCCCGTGCAATTCTTCATGGCAGGCTTCCCTTGTCAATGCTGGTCAGTGGCAGGCCGCCGCGATGGCTTTCTGGATGCCCGAGGGCTCGGGCTCATCATCGTGTTCCTCATTGCCTACATCACTACGCGGAGACCTTTGCTCTTCCTGCTGGAGAACGTGGACAACATTGCGGCTGGCGATAACGCTGACAGCTTCAACGCTATCGTGTCAGCACTCCAAACACTCACGGACAAGGACAACCGCTACCTCTACACTGTGGAGTCGCAGACCCTCAACTGCCGCATCCACGGCGGCTTGCCCCAGAACCGTCGGAGGAGATTCATTGTCGGCGTGCTACGTGGAGCTCAACAAGCACCCCTGCAGTGGCCAGGCCCAGTCACGATGCGCAACCTCATCGACCTCATGGATCCCGCCACGGACCTCAAACCTTTCCCGGGCAACCTACCAAGTAAGTCAAGTGGCACGAAACGCAAGAACGTCTTGGACGCACTCAAGGCCATCGCCTCCGACGGTAGCGACCCGCTTGCCGTTCCTGCAGTGGTCGACCATGGCTCTTCTAAGATGAATTACGCGATCGGATATTCCCCGTGCTTGACCAGGAACAGGGCTATGTCGCACGGCCACTGGGTGACGTGCCTTCAGCGCGAGATGACTACTGGTGAGATGCTTCGACTGCAGGGTGTCGAGGAATGGCGCGTGCGGGGATGGAAGCATATCATTTGCGAGGGGCAGTTCCATGCAATCATCGGCAACGCCATCCCCCTTCCGATGATCGAGCGCATCTTGATGAGGGCCTTGTACTCAGCTAGCCTCGCGAAGCAGCCGTTGCATGATAAGTATGAGGATTGACTTTCTTGGCCTGCCTCGCACTACGACGTCGCAGGACAATGTAGCTCCTCCTCCTGAGGCCCCAAAGAGGCCCCAAAGAGGTCCCCAGGGCTCTCCCCCAGGAGGCCCCAAAGAGGTCCCCAAGAGGCCCCAAAGAGGCCCCAAAGAGGCCCCAACGAGGCACAATGGAGGTCCCCAAGAGGCCCCAAAGAGGTTCCCAAGGCTCTCCCGCCGGCCCCCAATAAGGCCCCAAAAGGTCCCCAGGAGGCCCCAAGAAACCCCCACGAGGCCCCAAACCGGCCCCCAAGATGCCGCATACCTGCTTCGAACAGGCCCTCGAGAAACAGCAAGGGGTTGTCACAGAAAGGGGCCCTGAGTGACAACCCCAGCGCTGCGCCCAAGAGTTTCCCGGGAGGCCCTACGATGCCCGCAGGAGGCCCCAAGAGGTCCCCAAGATGCCCAAAAGAGGCCCCAATAAGCCCCATGAGGTCCCCAAGATAACCATCTTGGGTCCCAAGAGGGCTCAAGACGGTTAACGAATTATCCCAGTGCGACCCTACCTAGGAGTTGGAGCCTCTCGGAAAGCAACAGTAGCAGCAGCAATAGTGGATGCTGTGCTATGCTATGCTATGCTCTGCTCTGCTCTACCCTGCTATGCTATGCTATGCTATGCTATGCTGCGCAATGCTATGCTGGGCTCGGCTAGGCTAGGTTAGGGTATGCTATTCTATAATATGATATGCTTTGCTGTGTTGTGCTATGCTAAGCAATGCTATGCTATGATATGTCATGCTATGCTATGCTATGTTGCGCTATGCTATGCTATGCTATGTTATGCTATGCTATGCTATGATGTGCTAATGCTGCGCTGCGCTATGCTGCGATGCGCTGCGCTAAGCTAAGGAAAGCTGAGCTATGCTAAGCTAAGCTAGGCTAGGCTAAGCTAAGCTAAGCTAAACTAAACCAAACTAAGCTAAGCTAAGCTACGCTAAGGTAAGCTAAGCTAAGCCAAGCTAAGCTTAGCTAAGCTAAGCCAAGCTAAGCTAAGCTAAGCTAAGTCAAGCTAGGCTAGGCAACGCTAAACTAAGCTAAGATGAGATAAGCTAAGCTACGCTAAGCTAGGCTAAGCTAAGCTTAGCTAAGCTAAGCTGGGTGAACCCATGGGGCGCAACTGGGGGAACCGCGGGGCGGATCCTGGGGGAACCGCCCGGGGCGTTTAGCACTGCCCGGCCCTTTAAGCCAACAGAGTAAGAACCCTTCTAGGCAGAGCCTAGGTAGGGAAAAAACCAAAACGATGTGAATCGCGATTCCCATATTTTCCTCCATCTCGTGAAGTCCGCAAGAGGCCCCAGGAGGCCCCAAAAGGCCCCCAGGAGGCCCCAACACGTCCCCAAGAGGCCCAAACATATGCGCCAAGAGGCCCCCAAACGGCCCCCAATATGACTCAAAACTGCTTCCAACATGCCCCCGAACGGCATCCCATTGTATCCCAACGAACATCCAAGATGCCTCTAACCTATAACCCAGGCACGGTGGCGGGATGGGCCGAAGGCCACCAGATAACAACCATGACAGCAAGGCAACGAGGCACCAACACCAACCATAAACATGAAACAGCAAGAAGCACCGCGCTGATAAGAACACGCATAACACGAATAACATTAAATTGGCCATATTGGGCCGTGCTCTCGAACCCATGTCCACGCGCGATTTTGCCCAGTGGATCGATCTGTGAGGGTCCCGGGCCTCTTCGTCTTCGCCATTGTCCCCCTGCTGCAGCGGGCGCAGGGTTGCGAGGTGTTGCCTCTCCCCCTCATCTTCCCTGTCCTCCTCCCACTCCTGCTCCACCCGTCTCATGTCCACCGACATTTTTACTCAAATAGGCGAGCACTTGCATCGCCTGACTTTTTCTCACTCGGCGGCCCACTTCCTCGCAGGGATGGCCCCGACGAAGGGCGGCAAGAAGGCGAAGGCGAAGGCGAAGAGCGAGCCGCCGCCGCAGGACGGCGAGGCCGACGACATCGCTCCACCCCCCGTCAAGGTGCAGAAGACCGTCTGCGCAGGGGCGGCCCTGGTCGTGGATGGGCAGGTGACAGGCATGAACACCGACCATTTCGAGCGACTGGATGCAGCGAGAGACGACGTGCTGAACCACGCCTCCTTCAAGGGCATCAAGACCGCCGCCCCCTTGGGTATAGGGAAGGGTGGTACGAAGTCGCCTTTCAATCTGGATGACTTCAAGATCGCCATCAAAGATGAAGGCGTCTACGAGTGCGGTGGCAATTGGTGGTGGATCAATCAGAACTACCAGCCTGTGCGCAACGTCTACATCAACGAGAAGATGGTCGAGAAGGACATTGCAGAGAAGTTCGCAAAGCCAGTTTCGCACGTGGAACATGAGATTCTCGTCGGGGTCAGTCGTGACACGCGCAATGCTACAGTTCCAGTCGCAGGTACTTTGGAGCGTCTCTCCCCATCAGAGTTCGACGACGCCTTTCTCTTGGCCGTGCACGCCTCTGTGAATGCTGACGACAAGGCCGCACTCAAGATCTGGAACACGGCGTTCCTGACCGTCAAGTTCCGGTTCGTCGCCATAGACAACGAGGATGATAAGATGTACAAGAGTATTAAAGAACGGAATCGCGTCAGCCACAACGCAGAGGTGGCCAGCCGGACCATGCTCCAGCGTTTGCTCGAGTTCGTCTACGTCCTGCAGCGCTCGACCTCCAACCACGGACCCCTCGACGCCAAGGATATGGCCAAGCTCTGGAACGATAACATCGGCGGGACGTCTGGACCCAGTGGCGAGCCTATCTCGGAGACCTATGCCAAGACTGCCGTGGCCGTCTACAAGGCCATGATCCTGGACACCGACGTGCGGCAGGCCCTGATACACTCCGAGAAGCACTTCAATAAGAAATCACCCTTCGACTCGATTTACAAGCTCGAGGCGATCATATCCAAATGCAAGAACAACGGTGCCGTCATGAGCTTCGTCATCAACCATATCACCGACACCGTTCTCAACGGGCTCACGAGCCCTGGCGAGTACGCGCATCGGACGATGGTGGGAAAAGGTAACAACAACAAAGGGACGATCGACGTGTTCATGCTCAAATACCACGCCCTGATCCACCTGACTCTCGGGTTCCCGGGCGAGTACAGCATCGACGACACTTTCGTCATCGAGACTCTGAAGAAGATCAGCAACCACCAGGGCTACAGGCAGATGAGCGGCTACACAGCGGACAGAAAGGAGTTGTCGTGGTGGGCAAAGATGACGAAGAGCGGCCGCAAGCTGTACGAGCTCATCGAAGACCTGGTCTACAAGACTACGTTCGACGGCGTCATCAAGCAGGTCCTGCGAAACGCTGGGGGCAACAGCCAAAGCATGGTCGCTGAAGTCCTGAACACATGCCCTGTCAAGGATGCGGTGTCGGAGTTTATCGCAGAGCTTTCGGCGGAGAAGCCTGAGGTTCAGCCCCCCGTCATCGACTTGGACGGCGCAGGAACGGATGAGCGTGGACGTGCTTCTAAGACTTGCGCCGCCATCACTGGCGAAATCTCGATCAAAGAAGTCGCTGGGCAACACATCGAGGCAGAGATGGAGGATAAGCTCACGCCGTGGCTGGAGTTTGCCCAGAAGCTCGTGTCGCAGTGGGTCGATCTCCACGTCGAACCAGACACCGGCCCTCAGATCGGGGACATCTTGAAGAAGACCAACCTGCCGGACATGAAGGGCACTCCGAAGGTCGACAACGTCCTCGCCTACTACGACGTCAAGCAAGCTGGGACCTCCAACGTATCCCCACACATCAGGCATCCTAACTTCCGAGCTGAGCATCTGCGCAAGTGCGTCGTCGGATTCCAGGAAGGCCGGGGTAGTCCGGACGAGCTCGTTGAGGGGGACATGTTCATGATATTGGACGCCCAGTCGCATGGCAACCACGGCGCGTTCGCCACCGCGCTGAACAAGACCAGCGAGCCCAAGCCCATGGTCAAGGAGAAGAGGGTCTACTACCTGAGCTACGACGAGCAGTCCCTCAAGAATCGGAAATCTACGGTTCGCGAGACAAAGGTCGATCAGGTGGAGCAGGCCGTGGTGTTCACGGCGTCGACGCTGCACCTCGCCTACAAGAAGCGCAAGTTTTTCAACAGCTCCAACCAAGGGAACTCGATATTCCCGATCGCTATGCCGAACTATGAGAACACATGGCGCGTGCCGCCCAAGGTTCGCAAACAGCTCTTCGGCAAGCGCGGCGTGATCTTGGCGGGCGGTGCGGCCTCAAGCAGTTACGATCCCCCGACGTTCAAAGACGGCATGGAGCCCGTCAACTGGTTCGCTATGTGTGAGGAGTTTGGAGGCCTGGAAATTGGCACCAATACCAGCACAGGGGTTGCCTCCACATGGGAAAGACGATCCTAGATTTCGGTGTTGGTGGTAATATTTCGGTCACCTTGGAAGCCAGAACGTTACCACCATCACCGAGATCGGGATCTTCTTTCCTCGGTGCAGGCACACCGCCGATCTTGGTGTTGGTGTCAACCTCCAGGCCTGCGAGGAGTGGTTCGAGGAGGTGGTGCACTCCTGGAACGTCAAGTCCGTGGTGCATTTCACTGCGTTAGAGGAAACATTCGCCCTCGTCTGCATCCGCAATAAGATCAGCTACGTCGGGCTCGTGAACAGCGACGAGCACAAGCTACTCTTCCGTAACCGCTTGATCCAGCGCGTCTACCAGGACCTATCGACTGAGGGCAGCTCGAACTACCAAGCCACCTGCGCCTCGCTCATGAAGGAGGTCGCTGGTACGATGCCGAAGCCTGCTGCTGCCGACGCGACGGTCAAAGACAAGGGTAAGGACGACACCAGTGTGGCGGTGGCGAAGAGAGGCAAGTCTAAGGCGGCGGCGTCAGCCACCAGCGGAGTGCCGGCGGGGGACAATCCACTGACGTCGAAGCGCCTCGAGATCCTGGCGAAGCTCCAAGGGTTGTCCCAGGCTAACGGTGTTGCCGGCAACGCG